TAATGTTAAAATCGATCTTAGAGAGATAGGATGGGGTGGCATGGACTGCACTGAGTTGACTCAGGATATGGAGCAGTGGAGGGTTCTTGTGAACACGGTAATGAAATCTTCTGGTTCCATCAAATGTTGGGAAATTCTTGAGTTGCTGAGCAACTGGCGGCTTCTCAAAAGTGACTGGGCTCCATGGAGTTAGTTAATGAGATGGAGGAGCTTCAGCTTCGGTTTCCAGGCAATCGTTCCAAATGTTCCAGCCATTTCTTTCGATACTTTTTTTTTGTTATTATACTAATATCAGTACCTGTTTGTTAACGTCCAACATTCAGATCCATGTAAAGAGCATAGGTATACTCGTAACTGTGGAATTTCAATACACTTAGTATTTGGCATTTTCCTAGCAGCGCGCGTTTTGGTTGAGAAACTGTTGATATCTGTTTTAGATTCATCAGCACAGCGTTCTCTGACACATCCCGCACTCTTCGCTTAGTCTGTAACGGGGATAACTTAGATTAAAATTAACGTCATAACCTTGCACTTAATCTGCAAGGAGAAAGAGGAATGTACTTACTTACTTACTTATGGAGCTGAGCCCTTCTTGAGGAGCCAATTCTGCAGCTGCTCAAATATTTACCAACATTTTATGGAACCCGAAAGTTCATTACCATGTTCACAAGGGCCTTCCACTGGTCTATATCCTGAGCCAGATCAATCCAATCCATCCCATCCCATCCTATCTCTCTCTAAGATCAATATTAATATTGTCCACCTACCTACGCCTTGGTTTTCCTGGTGGTCTCTTTCCTTCTGGCTTTCCCACCAATATCCTATATGCATTCCTCTTCGCCCCAATTCGTGCTACATGCCCCGCCCACCTCATTCTTCCTCGACTTGAAGGAGGCATGTAAGGTAAGTAAATCTGCACGTCGTCCCTCCGTCAGTGACTTAGAGAATGTTATCCGGCCCTTAAACTGGAGCCACATGTTTCGGTCGTTCATTAATACCCCATGCAGCTACACCAGAAAACACACCATAAACAGCAACAAATGAAAAAAATCCGATCACACGAAAATCACTACGCATAAAAAAACCAACCACGATATAACGATACCAACAGTTCACCACGAGGGAGCGTCAGTAAGTATGTCACAGTTCTTGAATTCTCTCCTGGGTTGCTCGGGCTGTCATGCTGAAGCAACCCCTCTTGTCAGTTGGCCTGGACGTTTTCTGCCAATTGCATCCCGAAGTTTCAACAGAACTTCACAGTACGATGCAGCATTCATATTTTCACCGCGCTTCTGAAAATGGGCTAACAGTACTCTCTGAGAATCCCAAAACGCGGTAAGCATAACCTCCCCAGCTGATGGCGTAACTTTAAACTTCAAGCTTTTTGGTTGAAGGTGAACTGGGACGTTTCTATTACACTGAAGCAAGATTTGATTCGGGTTGGTAGTGATGGACCCATGGTTCGTCCCCAGTAGCAGTCCTGTTAAGCATATCTTCTCCTTCATCTGCATACCGTAAGAGATGTTGCAAGGACATCCATTCGGTTCATTTTTCTCGATTCTTCAGTTCTCTGGGCACCCACCGTGCGCACATTTTCGAAATTTCAATCGATCGTGCAACCAAGTGCAGTTGTTGTACTGTCTATCGTTATCCTCCTGTGAGCTCGAATCAGTAATTCCACTCGCTGCACAGTTGCTTTTGTCGCAATCTCAACAGGGCGATCTTTTCGGTTATCATCTGTGACTTTCGAACGTCCTTGAGAGAATTTATCGACCAAGTTTTGAACCGCTTGATGCGACAAGCACCTCCCACCATAAACAGGAAACATTTCTTTATGAAAAAAACTTTTGTCAGTAAAAGAGGAACAACAAAATTCTACTCTTCGGTAGTACACTCAAGCACGGTCGCCATTTTGACTACTGAACATGGGCATGCATGTCGGCTACCTAGACTGTCCTGAAGCTGGACTGTGCTGATATCTGGTGAAACACATGGAAAACTTATTACGTCAATTACTTCCATATGTGACGTATTTACTGACTCCCTCGTATATATACATAAACAGAAAATTTATGAAACCCAACTGTGCAAACAGTAGCGCAAACAATACTGGTTCACAGCGATATATTGTCACGAAAATACTCAACACAGTACACCAAACATCCCCCGCAACGCCATGAAACACACATGAGCAGGATTTTCCAGAAGAAAATAGGACGATATACAAGTACCTACAAACATTAGTACCAATCTACTAACTACGTAAACACAATTATTACCCAAATTCCACAACCACTTAGATGTTACAACACCANATACATTTTTATTATACTTTTCATATATTCACCCCAAACACGAAAAACTATTGACTTGAAAAAAAGTGAAGAATGGATCCATTTTGATATTATTCAGCAGTAACATTTTTTTTTATTTGAGATAGATTCATACAATCTGTCCACTTAAGGACAATGAGCACTTTTGGCGACCGAGGTGACTATGTCATTAACAGTGTTAATAAGGCTATCCCAGTAGATGCCTTAAGATTTGTGGCACGTATACACTTAAAACTAGCTAAATCTATCAGATAGGTCTGACGGCTTGAATCTTTTTAATCTCCTAACTTCATCTTCATGGGTTAGTAGTAAGGCTGCGAGTTCGTTTGGATGTACTCGTAGTCTCCGACTGTACTTAGCACTACACTTTTTAATTTCTTCTCGCACTGTAGATACACTTAAGTCCTTATGTAACACTGTATTGGGCACATACCAGGGTGCATCAACTATTTCTCTGAGAACCTTGTTCTGAAATCGTTGTAGTATTTCCAGGTTTGAATTTGCTGGCTGTTCCCCACAGTGATATTCCATACGTCAGTAACATAATGCAGTTATTGTTTTATACATATATACTGTAGTGTCCCGTAGTACAGTTGGCTGAGATCTTCCAAGCCGGAGATCGAAGTCCGATGAAGCCAAGGTAAATTTTATTTGTGGAGCTGAGGTCCACGCCGTTTAAGAGTGAAAGCTCAAGACTACAGAGCAGTTAACTATATGAGGATTTATTAAAAGAAAAAAACAAGATGAAATTCATACAGCCATTGGTGATTATATGAAGGCAAGACCAGATCCCTGCGAGCTGAAATTTCTAAGTCCACTTCGCTGAGCTGAATCGCATAGAGACGGCCCGCACGAAGTCTTCGAAAGTATCACCCCTCTCCTGTGATTACGGAGAGTTTATAAGCAAATTTACATCTGGTAACTGACGTCATATCTTCCTCTTAGGCACTGAGTCTTGCCTTGTACATTGTCTTCGTATGGAAAATTACAGGACATAGGTTAGGAGGACCAAGTCCACACTTGTTTACTTCACACATATATTTTTCTAAAATAATCAGGCGGATATTGGGCAATGCACAGGCCCCAGTGTGTCTGGGGCTGGCAACATGTGGTTCGCCGTTCGTTTGATGCTACAATACCAGATGATGCAATAATCTTATGTACTTGATTCAGTTGTTTTATTACACACTAATCAAACCCACGTGTGTTGTATTATGCTACAAAAGCCTAGAAATTAAACTGAGCTCTGAACCACTGTCAGGCATCGCGTCCTACAGAGGAGCCTTGAAATATGGCCTTACCAACCCACATGCCAACAGGGTAAAAGTTATGGAGGAGTGGAAGTGAACATGAGTGGTCAGTCATTCTTTGGCCGCTTTAACCCAAGAAGAAATCCCGGGTAACAATTTATGAGGGGGATGGGTGAGCCCCAGAGCCGGTGTGGACGCTGGGGGAAGAGAAAAGTTTCGCTTCCATGCTTATAATCGAAACTCGGTCCTCCAGCCTGTATCCAGTTACCCTAATTAGATAATTATAAACTGTGAATCCGAAACAGCAGATAAATCGACATTTGCGGTGTTAAGATGTTGCCCAGAAGGATTCGGGAAATAAAAGAAAATCCAAGAGAAACAGAACTCAGGACTCGATGAAGTCTTTATAAAGTTTATAAACAGGGCTAGTGACACATCGTGGTGGCGAAGAACTGTCAGCTTTCATGGTACCTTTAGATTCATTGCCATGTTTTCAGATGACAGCCACTGTACCCTATCCTGTGCCAGATAAGTCCAGTCCACCACATCCCCACACTCTTACTTCTTTATAATTCATTTAACACTTCTCTCCTATATAAACAAAAAAAAAAACTCCGTGGCCTGTAGTCCGCAAGCGAAGTATACCGACCGAGCGACCGCCGCTTGTCGGCGAAGTTAGTGCCAACTTTTGCGGATAGAGGGGGTCACGTGGTCAACGCAACCGATCCCCACGGCCGTTAATCTCGGGTTTGTAGACCGGAGCCGCTATTTTCTTGAGACAGCTTCTTGGTTATCCTCACGAGACTGAGTGACCCCGTTCCAGACCCACTACTTCTCAGAAACTCTGGTAGCGCCGCGAATCGAACCCGGGACCTCTGAATCTGTAGGCAGGAACTCTGACCACTAGACAACAGAGCCGGTCCTTCTCTCTTATATCTCTTCAGGTTTCCGGACTACCAGTAAGTTCTGTAAACAATTATGATAATTTGTTATTTATGGAGTTCATTCAACGACGCTGTCAGTATCAAGACTGTATAGTATCGAATGACTGAATGATTAATTAATGTGGAGAAGTTAGTGGAATGAGAATTTGGAGGGCAAACCAAAGTACTCAGAGGAAACCCGTCGCAGTGCCACTTTGTCCACCACAAATCCTATGTGATCTGACCTGGGATCGGATCCGAGCCATCGCAGCAGCAGCAACTGATATATTCTAATTATTTAAAACATCTTTGAGGTTATGTCATACCTTGAGTAGGCAACCTTACAGGAAAAAGAGTCCTGTGGTGTTCATTGTGATCTCCTGTATGGAGGTTCTAATCCTGCCTTCTCAGGGATGCTTCAGACACAGCCTGTGTATGCCAAGCAGTGGAAACAGATCTCTATTTACATTACTGTAACTTTTACGCCTTGTCAGGTTTGTGGGCCGTGTTGAATACCGCATGCCTGTGCTGCAAAGGACGATTGGAGAACCAGGAGAGCTCCCACTGGGATGCAATGCTCAAGTACAACGTGACAGGGACCCTGAGGACTGCTAGAACATTCATGCCTCTCCTCAAGAACAAGAGCGGTAAGTCTATATATTATGTAGGCCAAGATAAGAACATCCCACCTAATTCAGACCCAGACATCAGGATTTATTCAATATGACTGAACTTGAGTTTAGGGTGGGGGAGGGGGGCATTGATCCTGTGCCCCCTTTTCTGACATACGTCATCAACAACTATATATTCTAGCTGTTAACATTCCATATAGCTTTACTTAAACTATTTCTTATTTCACAGCACTGTATCAAACAAAGGGTGTATATAATAAGCAAGTTATTAACTAAGAGAAGGACCAACACAAGTAAATTAAATGATCTTACGAAGAATACGAGACCAAGCAAGAAACCAACAATGAACAGATAGTAATCAGAGTAACAATGTGTAGGGTCCCCATAACCACTGAATATATACCGTATTGGGAAGTGTTTAAAATAAAAGTTACACATCTTAATTAGATCTGCAGTGAGTTTTCTAGACATCCCCCCTCCCCCATGAGGTGAATTCTTGTATCATGAGCCAGCCTGACTTCACATGAAGAACATCAAATTTGCCTGCAGAAAATCTGTGTCATGCAATGATTCATTGTATGATTAGGCATTTCTCGGAAAACTGACAAAACGCTGATTTGCACTTTGTGTATATTGGACAAATACAAAACAAAATTAAATTTAACCGACAACTTTTAGTGTCACTTGCAAATGCCAACTTTAATCTAGATCCCTTCAGTAATTTTGGAGATGAAATGGGTAGCTGGAAACATGTCATCCCTCCACTGTTTCATGTTATGCACTCTGCACAATGAATGTACAAAAACTAAAGACAGTTATATCTACTTCAAACTTCAACCATACAAGTATACACACATTATTTACATCATTTGTAAACCCTGAATTAGAATTTTGCGTTGTATTCATGATAAGTACTTGTTTTATGCATTATCTGCATCACTGTTATCAAAGACAATAATAATAATATAAGTACACTTTAGTGAGACCTAACTTTAAATCTTCATCATCTCTGACTTAACAATGAATTTACCAGTAAGTAATTGTTATATTCTGAACGTCAGATACAAGGAATTAAATATGTAAATGAAAGACATATTTTTAAACACGGGTGTATGAATTTTTTTTTTGAAAGGGTGACTAAATCCTGCTTCCCATTTCAGTGCTTTTGCTGATAGGCAGCTGTTTATATACTTCACATGATAAATGAAGCGTTCACCTGATTGCCCAGAAAGTGTTCACTGTTTACATACTACGTGCAACAGATATTAATGTTTCCTGTGTCAGATTTGAGGTTTTCACGGTGGTGACTATGAAGAAAGTCGTCTTCTGGGATGTGGCGCCGTGTAGATATTGTGTTAACCGATGCTTCGGGGGAACGTATCACCTCCATCTCCAGGGTAGAAGAAAAAAGAAAATCTATGAGCGAGGAACCAGTATGAGCATGTGCTGACAGTCAGCACCTGCTGAAGATGGAGGTGATACGTTCCTCCGAAATGTCGGTTAACACAATATCTACACAGCTCCACATCCCAGAAGACGGCTCTCTTCAGTAATGTTTCCTCTTCACAAAAATAAAAATAAAAATATATATATAAATAAATATATAAATATATATAAAAATAAAAAACTTAACTGTGCATGTATGGCAATTGAATTTGTTCTGTTCCGGGTGGATAAGTAGTATAGTCGTGTATGTGGTTAACAATCTTTAAGAGGAATTTGCTCTTTCCATTTTCATTTCAACCTTGAATGGTAACCAATTACAAGACTACTTGGTTGTTATATCCCAGTAAACTACAATTTAAAATAAACTAGTTTTATTAAACACATCACTGTCATGCAGTTCCACTTCGACACTGAATTTCAGTTATGCCTTCAGTTGGTCTTCAGTTACAACATACAACTACGTTTCAGAAACTGTGAGAATGTGACTGTTTGCAGGTCGGCTAATCAACATGGGGGCAAGCAGTCACTCCAACAGTCCAGGTAGTGGACTGGTTGCCTATACAGCAGCACGGTTTGCAGTTGAAGGAGCAAGTATGGCTTTATGTCGTGAGTTGGCACCACATGGCATTCATGTCATTATCCTGCAGCCAAATGGTGTGGCATCAGACAAAGTATTTGCACCACCACGAATTAAGTAAGTAATGCATGTGTTATACTAACAAGTACAAGGGTTGGAACTTTAATAGTGGCAACTATTTATTTACAACTGATACAAAATAGATGCATGTTTCGAAGTTTTACTGTCCTTCAGTGTAGTCACCAGAATTGTGTACAACCCACTGCCAGCGATGTGGAAGTTGTAGGATACCTTTAGTAGCGCCTGTTGTGTTGATAGTTCGAATGGAGCGGTCTACTGCCTGAAGAATCTCTGGAACAGTTCTGACGCGAATGCCACGAAGTGGTTCCTTCATCTTAGGAATCAAGTCGAAGTCACGAGGGCTTAAGTCCGGGTAATATGGTGGATGGTACAGCACTTCCCAGCCCCATCGACTGAACAAATCAGCCACAGCTTGCGCTGCATGGGCCAAACATTGTCCTGCAAAATGATGGGTGGGTTCTGCAGAAAGTGTCACCGCTTCTTTCTCAAAGCTGGTCGCAGGTTGTGTTCCAAAAATGAACAGTAATACTGCACATTGACGGTCTGCTGTCGGGGAACGGTATGCATTAGGATAACACCATCACAGTCGTACACAAGAATCACCATAACTTTCACATTGCTGGGGTTCTGACGAACTTTTGGTTTTCGTGGTGACCCATAATGACACCATTTGTTTGATTGGTGTTTCATTTGTGGCTCGTATGATTTTGTCCATGTCTCATCCAGCGTAAGAAAGCCTCTCCTTCGCGCTCATAGCGCTCCAAGTGGTTACGAGCAGCTTGTATTGTAGCCATTTCTGTATTTCCGTCAAATCATGCAGAACCCATCGTGATGCAATTTTTCACATGCCCAGGCGTTCCTTCAGAATGTGAAGCACAGTCATATGTGCTAATCCTGTCTCTTGGGCCAGCTGACGAATCGTATGGCGTCAATCACTCTCCAGTAATGCGGAAAGTACATACACTTCTTCACTGATACTAGGACGACCTGGCCGACGCATGTCTGCCACATTTTGGCGTCCCTCATTGAAAGCATTTACCCACCTTGCCACTGTTCTGTAAGGCAATGCAGATTCCCCGCAAGCTCTTGAAGACCTTGACGACACTGTCGTGCTGTACGGCCTCTGGCACATCGAATCTTTATCCAACTCCGTTGTTCCTGTTTCGAAAACATCGTGACAACACTACATTAGACCGCCAGCTAACATGAGGCTCTGTTCTTCTCGTCACTGCTCATGCGTGTGATGTGGGAAAGGAGAGTCCATTTGCTCTGAGGTAAGGTAGGTATGTAACTAACGTGTGGTATAAGCAACATTATTTGGTTCCGTTGCATGGCGTCTCTACAGCAGTGTTGCCACTATTAAAGTTCCAATCCTCATAATTGATTAACTTCACTCACAGTTTAAAAAGAGAATAATTATCAAACCCACTCCTCAAACAGCAGACAGTGCATTAACAGATTTACAGCAAATAGAAGGGAAATCAAAGGTAGTTTAAAATAATAAAGCAGAGGATCCAAATTTGCATCTTACAATGCAAGCACAAACAATAAAGATATATAAATACAGTCTTGCATGCAAGATGTTATGAGAAAGGAAACATTAACTATGAGACCAGAACTAAAAAACACAGGTGATTCTGAAGATCCCAAACTACTGCTTCCATACAGTGAACTTTCTGAGTTATGAAGTGAACAGACATGAATTGCTGACAGCCCCCAACAGAACCAAAATTTAAAATAATCAGCAAAGCAGTAAGAATATTATTTGTGGCCACAAAAATATTTAGTCCTACAAATTACAAAGTAAATGGGCAGTCTTACATAACATCTAAAAACGTCAATGATCATTCTAGCTGCCATTTCTTCTGCATGGACAGTGTTTTGTTCCATCTCTCAGTTCTGAGTCTTTCAGCAAAAATACATTTTATTTTTCCAAAAAATATATCTTTAAAAGGTTAAAAAAAAGTAAAGCTATCCCTATAACAAGCCATGGAGGCTCATAGGGTTTTGAGGCTTTGAGGCTCCCACATTTCCTATACATTCAGCTCACAGATCATAGTGAGGTTCTCAGTCTTATGCCCAGGAAGATTCCTGATACTTCTTGTTAGAAGCTGAGTTGACACTGGGGCCATAGTGCAGCTGGAAGAATTAGGTCAATTGAAAAATCCAGTGACTTCATCGGGAATTGAACCCGTGACCTTTAAGGCTGTAGCATAGTGCCTCAACCAACTACACTACCAAGTGCCCCCAATACGATACCTTTAACGAATATAAGACAAGCACCTCACAAGATAGGTGTGCTCAAACGAAGATACATGTGAATTATGCAAGTTACAAATTCTGTCAATGTATGAGAACACATGTGCCAGGCTGAGCAGTTTACTTACTGCATACTGTCATTCAATCTATAACAGTAAATAACCACAAAACACAACCGTTTAGCTGTGTCCCAAGACTGTATTGCATACATTATATTCTCAGTAGAAACCACATGTTACTAAGTTAATATGCCTAGAAACAGTTCCTTAACATGTAAAATTAAATGTGTCACATTCATAAGGAGTGTTATTTGATGTTTAAGAATAATTATATTTTACAGTAAACTGTATCCATTTTTTTTTTAATTTGTTTCATTCTGGTCCGTCACACTATCATGTTTACAGTTAAGTCTGTTTAAGTCAAATGTGACATATAATGCTTCCACCACTTAAGCACTTAGTTACCCAACATGTTTCGATTCATAATGAATCATCATCAGAGGTATGCCTCTATGATCAGGAATCCGCTAATACGTAAAAGTTTTTAAGAGTACAAACACTTAAAACATTTATGATGCTCACTATATGTAGTTGTTGATTTTTATCGTACAGTTGTTGACGTAAAAATATTTTTTTATAATAACGTTTTTGAGTTGTATTACTTAGAAGTGGCATAGTTGCAATCACTTCCCTAATGGATAATTAAAAATGTTCCATGATTTATTTAATCCGTCTTGCAGTGCATACACTCATTTAACTCCTTCTCTCCCTCGCACTACATGTTTCGGCATAATAATGCCATCTTCAGGTGCTTACTTAACCACGTCAAACCAGTTCATTGCATGCCATGTTCACACATTAAAGTAACTAAAATATGTATCTATCATATACATTGTCAAACGTTAAAATATTAAAATTGTTCAGTATACCACATCGCTACGTCGCCCCTCACTACGTCAGTCACGCCCATTCTCCTTTGTTGGAGCACTCCTTCACTATCTTGTGTGTTGTGCTTTTGTTGTGTCGTGCTCCTGCGACTGCGTGTGCTATACTGTTGGGCTTCCTGGGTATGTGTGTGTGTCTGAACAATTTTAATATTTTAACGTTTGACAATGTATATGATAGATACATATTTTAGTTATTTTAATGTGTGAACATGGCATGCAATGAACTGGTTTGACGTGGATAAGTAAGCACCTGAAGATGGCATTATTATGCCGAAACATGTAGTGCGAGGGAGAGAAGGAGTTAAATGAGTGTATGCACTGCAAGACGGATTAAATAAATCATGGACTTAAATCAGTGCAACAGGACGCTAAAATATAACATTAAAAATGTTCCACTGTATTTTATAAAAAATTCAATTTGTTTCACCACAGCAGCCTTCCTTACGTTAAAATTATGTTTATGAGTGTGTGTATAAACTTATTTTAAGATAAGAGTTTTTATTCATGAATCAGTGTGGGTTGGTTTTATCTTCCTTAGTAGAGGAATTGTCATCTATCCCTTGGTGGCGTGTTCTTGTTATTAACGGTGTGGTTTGTATGCGTGCTGTACTGCGTGTGCTGTTTGAAGAGTGCTGTGTCATGTAGTTTAAATTTCTTGTGTCTGTGACGGAGTGGGTGTGTTCAGATATTGTATTATAAGGTCAAACATGTTTTGTTGGTTATTGGTCTCTTTTATTTGTTTTTGTTCATCTATCAGTTTATTGTGTTTGTTATAGTAATATATTTGGAATTCTTCTTTTATTTTCATTACGTTACCCTTTTTAGCTTTTTCGAGGATTTCCATAACTGTTGTTATCGGTCCGTATTGGTGGCATGTGTTTAATATGTGTTGGGCAAAAGCTGATTTGTCTTTGTTTAATCTTATATTTCTTATGTGTTCATTGTATCGTGTTGATAGTTTCCTTCCCGTTTGGCCTATGTATACCTGTTGGCAGCTTTGGCATGTTAGTTTGTATATTCCACTTTGCTCGTAAGGGTTAATGTTTTGTTTTTCATGTATTAATTACCCTATTGTATGATTAGTTTTAAAGGCTATCTTTGTGTTAGTATTCCCAAATAATTTTGTAACTTTCCATGTGTAATTTCCTGTGTATGTGTAGGTGACCAATTTTTGTTCTTTTTTGTCTTTATTGATTGGGTTACTTATTTTTGTTTAAGTTTATTGTAGATTTGTGTGATATCTTCTTTTCTATATCCATTATTTAGTGCGATGTTGATAATAGTATTTAATTCTTTGTTTTTTGCTGTTTCTTCAAGTGGTAGTGTAAGCAGCCTATGTATCCAGTTTTTATGTGCTGCTAATTTTTGTTCTTTGGGGTGACATGATTTGTTATTTATTGTTACGTCTGTTGATGTGGGTTTTCTTTATATTTCCATGTTTATTTGTCCTTTTTCATTAGTAAGATTTAAGTCTAGGTAGGTTATTTGTTTGTTTATTTCCTCATTTATTGTGAATTGTAAAGCTTTATTTTGCGCATTGAATTGTTTAAGGATGTATTGGGGTGTTATTTTTGTTTGATTATAGATTATGATTATATCGTCTACATATCTGTTATAGTAAACAATGTTTTTTCTTCTAGTACATAGTTCTACATATAGTGGGCATCATAAATGTTTTAAGTGTTTCTACTCTTAAAAACTTTTACATATTAGCGGATTCCTGATCCTAGAGGCATACCTCTGATGATGATTCATTATGAATCGAAACATGTTGGGTAACTAAGTGCTAATGTGGTGGAAGCATTATATGTCTCATTGGACTGAAACAAACTTCATTGTAAAATGTATCCTTTCACCGCATCACTATCAAGTGCAATCCCAATTGCAGTGTTCTTCATTTTCACAAAACTTGAAAACACAAGGCATTTTCCAGAAAGCAAATATGACCCAGGGATGCACAGAAAAATGTATATGAATTCTAAGGCAGATTTCTTACTCATTTAAAAATGAATAAGGATAAATTCTTGCAGATACTAGAAAAAATTACAGCAAAATAATTTCTTCCCTTGCCAATAAATCTTCAGTGTGAAGCACTCCATACACCTATGAGTATTTCCTTCCAGTATTTTTAGTGTATTATTGTTGACATATCTATGAGGGTTGCCTAATAAATAATGCAATAAATTTTTGCTCAATCACAATTTATTTTATTAAAACCTCAAATATGCCACATTGCTACATAGCTACTTAAGCCTATTTCTCAAAATAGTCTCCTTCCAAATCTATGGCCATACAGCACTGAGATGCGAGAGCCTGTACCTTCACAGGACCACTCTGCAGGTCTCTGTCACAGTCAGCCTTTTACTTTGGAAATGGTGGTGGTGAAGGAAGTCATTTCTAAGGTAAAGAGCTGGTTGCAACAGAGACCTGCACGGTGGTACCGCAAAGGCGTATAGGCTCATCTTGGTGGCAAAGGACCATATATTTTGAAGGACAGTACGTTGAGAAATAGGTTTAGGTAGCTAAGAATTCAGGTAGCAATGTGACATATTTGAAATTTTAATAAAACAAACTGTGAACTAAAAGAAATGCTGCATTGCTTTCTGGGTAGTCCTCGTACCATAAGCTTCCCAGAAGAAGTAAGTAATTTGATGCTGAATTATCCCTGAGAAGATTCCTCGTATTCTATCTATTTATCCATTTTTTTTCTACTGTTGTCATAGCCAGATTTGCAGAATTACATTTGCCTACCCATTTAAATTTTATAAAAAGTCAGAGTTACTTAATTTGTCAGAAAATGTATTTAAAATGAAACATAAAGTACACTTCACTGTGAACCACACAGAAATATTTATTTTTATCATAATTTTGTGAACTGAAATGGAGGATGAAAGTTTTCTGAAATTAAAACTGCAAGACAGAGTGCAAATTGCTGGCAGCTTACTCGGCTGTATAAATCTGACATATTTTACATGCTGTAGCTGACCAATTTGGATTGACCAAGCTTTGGAGGATCAGATTCAAATCCTGGGCAGAGATCAAGCGAAACAAGTGTCATAATTTTCCAAAGTGCCTCTTGCAGTGCACACGCGAATGGCTTCACCAGCCATTTACTTCACTACTCAACTGAAATGAACCCTGAGGAAATGAAAATACTGTAAGCCTTCAGCCGTCTTACACTAGAGTTCAGGCTTTAAGATCCAAATAGCCACATCTTCATTTTATACGATACCCACACATTCTTTCTCCGGTTGCTCAGGCCCCTGATTGCAATGCAGACAGCTGCAAGTCTTATAATAATACATACAAAAAGTGACAATGAGAAGGACCACTTTACATTGTAATTCAAGACATAACAGCTTTTCCAGAGATATTTTCTAGGTAATGTGACATAAGAGTTCAGTGGCAGAATATCCATAAACAACAACAGCAAAACATTCTGATGTTAACAGTGGTCTGGATACTCCAATATGGGACAAAGACAGGTCTACACACACCCTCAAATTAGCATCCAATAAGAAAGTGACTAGACTCACTCTAATGGATGTGATATGTTAAAACAATCAGAAAGTAGGAGCCTTCAGACACAGGAGATATTTCAGTTACACAGGCACAAAGAAACTTACACAGAGTCATCCACCAAGCTCCAATGCCTACAGGCAGGGCCATCAGAACACTCACTTGTTGCACCATCGATGTATACAGAAATGAAATGTTACAACTGTAAAAGCAGCTGTGGAATATTAAAGTGTGTGACTACAGTTCTGTACCGGCTGAGCAACTGCCACTTATCGGCAAGTTAGTGCCAACTTTAGCAGATAGAGGGTGTCGTGTGGTCAGTGCAACCAATCCCCACGGCCGTTAATTTCGGTTTTCTAAACTGGAGCCACTCTTTCCTTGAAATGGCTCCTCAGTTGACCTCACAAGGCTGTGTGGATGCCGTTCCAGACCCACTACTTCTCAGAAAATCAAGTAGCACCAGGAATCGAACCCGGACCTCTGGCTCTGTAGCCAGGAGCTCTGACCACTAGACCACAGTCGGTATAGTTTGCTTGCAGACTCAAGCCACGGAGTTTGTTTTGTTTTCATCTACAGTTCAGTAAAGTGTACTTATTCATTATGACAAGGAAAAATCTTCACCTTGTGTACCCATAATCTCCTTATGCTCCATATTAAGGTCACGTATATCACCATCGTAACCAAGTTTAAAATTTAATACTGTTTAGCAGCAGTAAAATACACACTGATAAATTAGTATTGGCTTTTAATTGATGTAATTTATGTTGTAGTGACCATGTGAGACGACTGTGTGTTTCCTAAACAGCTGAGTTGTGTACATGTTTATCCTTCATTATATGTATACAGTGGCCGTCTTGTAGTGCACTCAGTTTCACCTGTCACTTCACAAAATGTTTCGGCAACATAGTGCCATCATCAGGTGTCCCAATTACGTCAATCTATTGCATTGCCTGCCCTCACATGTCTTCACAACACCAATTAAAAAGTATTTAAAAAGTCCGTATTTGTCAACTATGATAAATTTACACTTGCTAAAACTTGTTAAGATAATTCATCTTATTTGTCTTAATTAAAACTTGCATGTGGTTCTTTCACTACGGGGTGAGTGCTGCGAGTGTTGTAATCATTACAACACTCGCAGCTAAGAAGGGAACACACATCACAAGATGCGGTTTACACAGAAAATAAGAAGAGCGACCCTGTAGTGAACGAACCACATGCAAGTTTTAATTAAGACAAATAAGATGAATTATCTTAACAAGTTTTAGCAAGTGTAAATTTATCATAGTTGACAAATACGGACTTTTTAAATGGTGTTGTGAAGACATGTGAGGGCAGGCAATGCAATAGATTGACATAATTGGGACACCTGATGATGGCACTATGTTGCCGAAACATGTTGTGAAGTGACAGGTGAAATTGAGTGCACTACAAGACGGCCACTGTATACATATAATGGATGAAAATCAGTGCAACAGGACGCTAAAATATAACATTATGTTTATCCTTATTTTCTTTGGAAACTGGATAGATGTTTCGAGTGACTGAAGATTACAATTTTAACCAGTTTGTGGGACATTCTGATGATCCTAGAGGTTTCATGCCAATATGGAGTCAATAAAATAATATATGGCAACAATAAAGAAGATGTAATTTCTTAAGAATTTAACCCTATCAGGATACTCCCAAGGGATCCCCAAATGCAGTTAATTTGCAATATGTGAATGACATTTTGGTCTGATACGACATTAAATGTAATTTGACTCATGGCAGCAATAGTAATTACTGATCTTTTCGAACATCTTTGAATGAGGTTCTGGTGTGATGACTGTGGTGGTTTACACATCAGATTTTTAATTCTTACTCGTGGATCCTCTTCTTTTATTCTTGTTGCTCCCACCTGGATAATAGGGAATCCGCAAAATGCTGCATTTCACTTCAGTTTCTTAATATAAGACAGTTGGTAAGACTACTTGGATGGGGGATCAGTCCGTCGCAAGGCCACTGCCTAACAAAAACACAGAATAAACACAGACATCCATGTCTTGTGTGGGATTCAAACCCATGCTCTGAGTGTTCAAGTGGGTGAAGACATTTCATGCCTTAGACTGCACAGCCACTGTGATTGGCTTACTCATGGATATACTGGATTAATTTTCTTGAGTGTTTGGTATATTTAGTTTTGGTTAGACAGTTTGCACCACTTATGCCTCTTTGCTGGGGCCCCTGTTTAGTATCAGGATGTGTCAGAACAGTGGCTATCTTTGGAAATAAATAAATGTAGATATTTGTTGATTGTTTGGGAATATAGCTTTTAAATTTGGTGTTTGATCCACATATGTTGATAAATGAACATCATAGTGAGTAACGACTCCAGAAAACATGTATTTGAGTGGTGACTTAAGGATTTTGTTTGACAGATGGAGAAGATTGTAGGTACAGTGTTTGAACCAAACGTTTTGTCATGTGTGTTGAAGATTAAGTTGTTTTCATTACCAGTATATACTGCAGTGTGAAGGTTAAGAGATTCTGAAATGCACACACTAAGAAGACCGAATTACTTTGCTATATTTGCATTTGTACTGTTGTGTTTAATGTAGAAATTTAATGGAAATAACAGGTTTTTGTTTTATTTAAACATTAGTATTAGTAAACTGTTCGAGAAAACATATTACCTTCTCTTATGATTGCCAGAAACACCAGATAATCCCAATTCTGACCAAAGTACTAGAATACATTTTTGTTTTATACTGAGTGAACTATTTTAAAACATACACAGTGATACCTTGTTCCAGCTTTAAGGAATGTCTAAAGATGGTTCCTGAACCCAAGTATAACATTATCTTTCTCTAGTGATGGTACTGTCAAATCAGAATATATTAACCATTTTTTTTGGCAGAATTTTTGCCTTGTAACTTGTTACCAACTATGGTAACAAATCCTATATTAACTGCTACAGTCTGACACAAATAGAACAGGCGTATAAACTGGCGTGGAGATACATTAATTAATTATTAATAGTGCCTTACATTTCTATTTCAGTGAGCCTGAAACCCCTGAAGGTCACACTGCTTTGGAGATTCAACATCCAGCAAACAGCTATCTAGACTACAACCCATCAATCTTACCACCACAAGCAATGAGGATAATTGAGGAAGCTTTGCTCTCTAAATCTCCAAAACAAAATTATCAACTTCTGCCACGGAGCAGACTTAATTCTTTGAATCATAATTTGTTAATTATGAAGAATAAAATAATGTCTGCACAAATAAAACCTTTACAGATGGCATAAATCGTATTTAAGTTAATCAGAGCGTTTCAGACTCATAGTCATCCTCTAAAAAGACAAACATGTAACAACTTACTGCAAGTTTAGTCCACCAGATGAGGAATTCCTGTGACAGATCTGATGGTCTATAACTTCCACCGCTTAGAGTCGAAACATTATTTTGTCCATTTATTACACATAATAATAATTCCACTTAATGTTATAGCTTTTATTCACAGTAATGTACAATTTACTTAACCTCCATACAAGGTTAGAACACATGTGATTTATTAGATTGTACTAACATAAAGAATCTACATGAAATAAAGCATTTTTGTAAAAAAAATAATAAACAAACTTGTTAATCTGCACCCGCAAGTATTTCGTACTCGAAATTTACCACCAAACTAATGCACAATTTTCTGTCGTTTGACACGTGCAACAGCTCCCACACTGTTTTGTAAACGCCAGTGTAGCCAATATATATCGATGCTACTTTCCACCTACTAAAACTATAAGCCCCCTTTCGGTCCTTAGTATTTAATCACCAGGCACTTTTTATTGGAGAGTACTCTGGAAGTGATGTATTACATGCAGTATTCATAATCAGCTCTTAGTATGCCAAGAAGTATATTATTGCGTCAATGTTGGCTAACCTGAGAATCATGGCCAACGTTACAGGGTAACAGATCTATTAAGATCTAAAAGTTTGTGGCGATGGTAAATTGTTACAATTAATATGTTGTTGGACATTATCCATAATCTTGTCTGTTCTTAAAAAAACGTCATGTTTCTTTTAAAAAACACGTTTCGGGGACTGGATTCTGTCCCCGTCCTCAGGCAAAACGTACTCAGTTGGGTCCAATAGACAGAGCTAGCCCCGATCTCCGGACAACTATGCCAGTTTCAGAAGGCGTTCATAATCCAAGCACAACCATCTGTGAGAGCTAAGAAATAGTGAAGCGATCACATATGAGGCCTTGAACCAGAGAAGTAGCTTGAATGAAATCATACATGGAGAGAAGCAATACTCCCTGTGGTACCAAGACATGAAACAAATAGTTACCCACTCCAACTACACTTGACGGCGCTGTAGTCTCTTTACTTATGCTGTGATGACAGGGGTCCAGATGGGAGAGATCGGGAGCATCAGGTATCGGGCATCAGGCACAGGGGTGCAACTCAGTGCTATTGGCGGGCAACATAACCGCCGTGACGTCATGAAGCATCACTGATGCCACAGTGTCCGGATGCAACTCTATAGATACAAAATGGCTGCCGCCAGTGCCGAGAGCTCGGTCGGTAAGACTGTATGCTATCATACCACCTGCCCTGTCGGTAAGAAAGCATGCTATCATACCACCAGCTTTTTTTGTACTGCTCCCTCCCAAAGAATCGCTGGTTCACACGAATAGCTAGAAATAATAATTGATGTAAATGAAATGTCCATATTTTACAGTCACTGGTGAGAAACTTTCTCCCGATAACTAATGTTGCAACCCTGGCCTCTTATACGGCAGATGTTATTACTTCTGTAACGCCGTGGTGCAGGGGGGCGTGGAGGTACCCCTCCTTGCCACCACAGCTTACGCTTCAAGGAGTTAACACAATAATCCTGGCTTACCCTCAGCTAGGATTCTCCTGTTTCTGGGTTTCCTTCTCTCATAAAGCTGCCACCATCTATTTTATATCGTACGAAGTTTGGTGAAAATACTAAGGGCCGGTAGCGCGGTAGTCGAGCGTTCACTGTGGCTGGCCCTTTCATCCTTGTCACCTCTTATTATTGGCGTAGAGCGGGCGTGCCGGGTCTGCCCCGCCTCTACCTATCGTCTGTCATCTCTATAGTGGGAACTACCCCCTGACATNCCATATTGCCGGACTATCTTCCTAGGCAATTACTTGGTACATAATTATTCTCCCCTAAGGGCTTGCCAAGCACACTGGAGTTTGCTTTCGATATTTCCCACAACACTTTTATCAACAATAATATTTAACAACATGGCTTATATGAGTAAACGTGACTTACTTGAAATAAAAGAAGCAGGCCAACTTCCACCGCTCGTAAGGCCCATCTCGACTAGAGCCTCCAGCTGACAACTGAATATTATGTTTGAGATCAGATCCCAAGTCTCCTAAATTCAGTAATTTATGTCTTTAACTTGCTGAATTGGCTGTTGACGAAAGAGGGAGGTTAACTCCTCATTTCATTCTCAATTCCCAAAGTTATATTCTAATTGGCTATTCCCTGTGGTTGTGGGTGGGCCCATGGTATCTCATCGCTGCGTATTTAATAATATTACCATACTCCAGTGGCCCCGTTAGTAGAGCTTCTTACTTATGTGATTACGCATAAATGCTGATCATCAACATTCTTAACCTAGTTGCCTGTCCAGGTGTTGACATACTAATGTAATGGCTGTAAAACACTTTTCGCAAGTCTCGGAACATTTAAGCAATGTCTTTTGATTTTCAGTCTCGAATTTGGATCCACAACAACTTCATTGTTTTTTTTTTTGAACTTAGTTTAATATCACTTCACTCAAAACCATCTGGAGGGGCATGAGTTAAATGATATCAAACTCAGTTCGAAAACAGAAAAAGACACAACGGTGTAAGAACCTCTGCAGTACAAGATATCAGGTTGCAACATTTTTTATCGGGAGAAAGTTTCTTACCAGTGCCTGTAAAAGAAGAACGTTTCATCCACATCAATTCAACACCCCTTTACTGAAACGCAATGGATATTTGAACTATAACATATATAGAATACTTGAGTTTAGGAAAGCTGATGGTGGGTAAGCTTGAAAGAAAATTCTGTTTCCATCAGAGATACTTGTATTCAACATCATAAATTTGCTTACAACTTATACTTGAAAGCTACACAAAACATAGCTTTTCAGTTACATTAATGTGTTATAAATCATGTATAGGGAGTAATACTACTGAGGTTTCCATTGGTTATTAATTTCAGTAGTATAATGAAACTCGAGAATCTGATACGCACTCTTGTTAACAAGATTAAGATTGCAATTAATATTATATGAAAAGCAATAAAATAATTGCAGAACTCTGACAAACATCATGATCTGAAACATGCTCATGTTTCCAAATTCAATACTAAACATAATACAGAGTAAAAAAGTAAAGCTATCCCTGTAACAGGCCATGAAGGCCCATAGGGTTGTGAGGCGTTAAGGGTCCCACACTATCTAGACAATCGGCTCAAAGATTGCGGTAAGGTTGTTAGCCTTATGCGCCGGCCGCGCTTTACTCCCCAGGAAAATTATTTATTTAATTCCTGGTAGTCATTTCTGTTAGAGGCTGAGTGAACCCCAGGGCCATAGTGCGGCCGGAAGGATTAGGACATTTGAAAAAAATTCAGTGACCTCATCGATATTTGAACCCGCGACCTTCTGCCTTGTAGCATAGTGCCTTAACCAGTACGCTACCGCGTGTCCCCACTAAACATAATAATGTGGCCAAAATAATAAATTAACTGAACAAATATAATGAACATTGAAAGTTATATATATATATACATATACAGTAAAACTTGGTTATAGCAACATCGGTTTCTGCGACACCTTGTCTATTGCGTCAAATATTCAATGGTACGAACTAATTCCTCATAAAGCAACTGTTTTTATACCTTTCTTAGTACGACATGCACAAATGCATCAACCTCGTATGTAACGTCATTTTCATTCCTGAAATTCTCTGATATCGTGGGAAAGTTCGATGTGTCTGCCCACCCTCACTTTCTCTACTTGCTGACGTGACTGTCCTGGAAGAATACGACTGAGGGCTGCAAGAGGAGCGTGGGTTTTATGCGAAAACAAGGGTGTGGGGTGGGACTGCGTGAATAGTGCAAGAGGACGCGGCAGGTTGTTAACTGCATTCCTTTCCTAGAATCTCGTCTAACAGGACCTCAGTCCTAACAGGACTTACCCCATAGTGTTCCTGCCTAAACCCAGAGAAGTGCAGTAGCGAAAACATGGCAATGAAAAGGAAAGTTTTAAGCATTGAAGAGAAAGTTAAAGTGATTCGTGAAATATTGAGTGTATTGTCAGTGAAAAGCGCTGTAATATGTCTTTGATATTACACATTTGGGCAATTCCACGTTAATGTTACGTTAGAGTGTACTTAACTACGTATTTCACTAAAAAAATGCAACATTTTAACTCGGTTTTTGGTAGATTTTTACGTGACTAACATAAGGCTACTGTGGAAGTGCCCATTTCGGTTACAACGACATTCGTTTATAACGACACTATTTTTAGGTCCCTTTGATGACGTTATAACCAAGTTCTACTGTAT